ATCATAAGGTCTGTCATTGAGGCAACTGGTGTAGTTTGATTTCCAGCTTGTTTTTCCTGACAAGGAGTAGGGTTGCCTGTCCAACTTCATGGGTTTTCTCAGGGTCCTCTGGTTTCCTTCCACAGCTAATAACCGCTACACACAGGCGAATTATTGAAAAAGTATTGAAAAATGTGTAAGTCACCAAGTCTCAAAATTAACCTAGTTTGTATCAAGTGGATATTAACCCCATTTCTCTCTCTCCCATTTACTTTAAACAAAGCTTGGTATATCGAAACAAAAATGTATGACCAGGACTGAACAGCAGAAGGGCAAGGTCACTGATCAACTATGGTAGCATTTCAGGTGAGAACCTCAGGAGCTGTCTGGAATTTGAAGCTCTTGAGACTCATTACAAAGTAGGCCATGTCATTATAAAAAAAACCCATTATTTTCTGCTTATCAAAATGAATAACTTGCAGAATAATAAAATTGTCTCAGTTCACAACAAATTGTTAATCAGTAAAAAACTGATTTGTACTGATTAATATAATTCATAGTGAGTCCTTACATGTATATTGCGCACAGATCCATTGACAAAGTTAATGCACATAAAAAACAGAACAAGTTACAATGTACATGTACATATTCATGTAGCATCATAAATGCCATAAAACACAACTTAAATGAAATGGAGTTAAACATATCTGCACCAAATGGGCTAATGAAGACCGACAAATGCCATAGTATGTTACATCAGTACATGTACATGTAGATGTATAAGGGAAATTTTTCCCGGGCACCTATATTTCCACCTGTAAATGTATTCTTCATTAAATTACAAAGGGTTCTTTTATGTGCACGCATTGTGTACTCTGGAGACAGGTTGGGTTTTTTTGGTCCTAACTTATATTGCAATTTAAGCAAAACAAATGGCTATTTTAGGCACGTTTTTTTTTGCAAATTATTTTAAATTTTAGAAGAAGTGCGTCTAAAGTATGATGTTAAGGCGGTTAAGCACATCTGTGATGAGTTTTTAACACCATTTAAACTGAATTGTACATGTACCTCAGTAACCTGTTAGACCAGTCGGAGTAGAACAGTAGGATGCTAAACCCCATTTCAATTTTGTATTGTTTATCAATGCCAGTTAGTAAAGATCCTTTATATGACTATAAAAGTAATATGATGGATTGTTTAATTGCCTGATCTACACATCCACCTTGTCCTTTTCATAATCAATCAGGTGTCATTGTTTGGCGATTTGCTTTGTTTAATTCTGTCAGATTTATGATCATTCGCAAATTGCTTTCTTCACCTTCATATATATATACATTACAATCATATTGTAATTGATGTGTATGCTCAATATATATACAGGTTCAATAAATACTGGTAAATGGCTAACTTTCCATTTTAAACGGGCTAAATCTCTATGATTGGGCTCACCTATGTTTTATTACAATAGTAATGGGACAACAAGCTCTTAAAATTAAAAAGATATTTTCTAAAGATTAACCTTGTTTACTAATTTAAGTTTCGTTTTTGGCTTATTGGGCATCATGTATATTTACAGCAGTGACTTTCCCTATTGATGTAAAATCTTCAGGAAAGAGGTCGTAATCCAACAAAATAAATGTATACATACTAATAATTATATCAACTTTATCAACACACAAAATCCAATGAATATCAACAATTTCATTTTTGACCCAAATCAAATCAGGCCTTGATTATTTTAAAAAATCAACTAGACTGACAAATAGTACTCGAGCTTTAACCAGACTTTACACACTAGTGGTATGCATTTTATCGACATTTAATAGGCCTACATCGTACAGTACTTCATGTTCATACATGTATAATTGAGAGTAGGCAATTTTCTACTTGAAATGGCAATAAACACAATATGCTCATTTACATACATACTGGTACATGTATGCTGTAGGAATGACAAAAAACTGTTAAAATTTAGATATCATTTACCAGCGGCTGCCAGGCAGGATACGCCCACATTTTCGAGAGATGGATAGAAAACAAGCTAAAACGAAAGTGATTTTTCCTACAATCAAGGGCCATAATTCAGGAAATTACAATTCGATATGCGCAAATATCGAAAGGAACCGAGATCTTTGGGTTATAAACTTACATTTCAAGTTTCAACAAAATCGGATAAAAATTGTGACCTCTATAGGGTCCACAACCTTGATATACCATATTTTTACGCAATTTGAGAACGAGGGCCGGACATTTTGTCTTTCAGTTTTGGGACGATTTTCACGAAATTCGAACTCAGTAGTCCTTAGGGTGTAACGGTGATATCATAATACGGTTTTTTAAATCGGATAAAAATTATGACCTCTATAGGGTCCACAAGCTAAAAACGCGATTTATCGAACAATCAGGGGCCCTAATTCAGGAAGTTATGGTCTGATATACGCGAATATCGACAGGAACCGAGATCTTTGGGTGATAAACCTATATTTCAAGTTTCATTGAAATCGGATAAAAATTGTGACCCGTAGACGGTTCACAAACAATTGTGGACGGACGTCCAGACGTCCAGACGGACGGACGGGGGCGACGACAATATACGTCCACATGAAAATGTGGGCGTATAAAAATGGTAGATCTATTAAATATGATTTAAACTGGTAGATATCATTTTAAAATGGTAGATACATGTATCATTTAAAATGGTACAGTCATTTCACTGTTAATCAATATTTTTCACCAAAATTTAGAAAATAAAGTAAAAAAAAAATAATGCTACCCAATTAAAAATAAGCTCTCAAGTACATGTAATTTGTACCTTGTGAGCATCTATCATTTAATCAATACTAGAGACTGAACATTTCTACTCTTTTGTTTTCCATAGAATTGTACATGTATAACTTATAAGCTTAAACAAAATTTGCACACATGTAGTCTAGTGAGTATGTGAGATTGAGAAGGCTGACCAAAGTAGTTGAGATATTCAACACATGATCGTTTTGACATCGATTTTTTATAACAAATAATTTTAATAGTAAATACTGTAAATTTTACATGTAAAATTACATTGAGTGAGGCCTATATTGTGTCACACGATATTATTGTGTCCAACAGTTTTTTCAAACATCATGTTTAAGCTGAAATGTAGACTACTAGTACTACCAGTACCTACAATACATACTTCCAGGTACATGTAACATGTTCATGTGGATTAATAATATAGACATGAAGTTTATTGGCCTAGTCCCAATCCATCCTGAGTTCTGACACTGAGCGACAGATCCAGGCAGGTACTGGATGACCATGTCTCAGACTCAGGTCTGTTTCTGCCATGGCACTATGGTCAGAAAACAATAGGTTGTTTTTCTTTTTCATTGCAACTTTTACCAATTTTGCGTTGCGCCTAATTACCTAATAAATAAGACAATGGCAGCTTGGTTTTTGCTTTTAAATAATCGGGGTGGGTTTTGTTTGTTTGTTTTTTTTTTGGGGGGGGGGGACTTTCAGAAATTCGAATTTCATCATTTTATTGGGTCGTATTGTATGTACCAAGTTCTATAAAAATTGTAACCTTCTATAGATTCAATCAGAGATCGTTTCTGCATTAATTAAATCCAAAACATATGCTGGCACCATGCCAGACGGGCTATTTATTCTATCGTGTGTGAGTGCACAAAGCGTGACGACTGAATAGAATCAGATGAAAATCAAAACAATCAAAATTTTTCCAGACAGGAGACGAAAGATTTGCATAGTTTTTTCCACATTCCACAAACAAATTTACTTCAAATTTTATGCACCTACCTGTTATCTGCCAAATTTCACTGCTAAAATTCGAAATCTTTTGAGTTGAAACTTGTAAAATCAGACAACAATCCGAAATGATAATAATTTCCACCGTCTGCAAACAACGAAAGCGCCACAAGATATGTGCACACTAACTGATGACCTCACTGATTGTTGTAGTTATTGATCGAGGTCATGCAGAGTTAGCTCCCTTTATCTTAAATGGATTTGTCTCCCTTATACTAATTTTGGCCAATAGTCTTGACACATTTTTTTGGCCAACGGGCTATTGCTAGATTCCGCAACTTGGGAATCGACCCAGACTTGAGATCCCACGACTTGGGATTAGACTCGGAGTCGGATACAAGGTCCTGCGAGTTGGTCAACTCAGTGAGAATGACGCTGACCACAAACCAGGGCAGGAGGTCCTAACAGTATATCTCAACGTTTTTAGCTACGTTCTCGTAGCTAAGCTAGAGGTCCTGGGGACTGGGGTTGAATCCCCGTGCTGGTCGAGAAAGTCCCTCAGGACTTTCCAGAGTGGTTCCCGCTTGTCAATGGTACAGGAGAATAGAGAACCCCCGCACAGGAAGGATTGCCTTCCCAAGGAACAGTGTCTAGTACTTCTGATTGGGCCAAAAACAAGTTGAGGAGTAGATGTGGTGTATATGATCACAGGAGTCTGACCTTCTATCCGTATATATATGATCTCCCTCTCAGTCTCAGTAGTCCAATTGCAGTAAAATACCATGTTAACCTCATTTCATTTCAGCCCCTATTCATTTTATTTCAGCTCCTATTCATTCCGAATCAGCCCTTATTCATTCCAAATCCACCTCGTCAATACTGTCAATAGTCCAACTCCAAGCCCTCCCTCTTCGAATAGACTTTGAACATCTTAAAACACAAAGCATCAACAAAATATTTGGGGGGTTGGATGGCTGAATGGTAAGCGTGCACGCGCTGTATCATTCGAAGTCTGTCATTGAGTCGACTGGCATGGTTTTGAATCCCCGGTTGTACGTGACAAGGAGTAGGGTCGCCTATCCAACCTCAAGGGTTTTCTCCGGGTCCTCCGGTTTCCTCCCACTGTTAAAGACCCCTATGTGTAAGTGAATTATTGAAATAAAATAAAAGTATATGTTAGTCCCGAAATGACCTAGTTTGTGTCGAGTGGACGTTAAACCACATTTCTCTCTCTCTCTCAACAAAATATTTACAATTACCATACATTTTTTAAAAAGGTGGTTTTATTAACAATTAATTATATTGCAATAAGCCAATATGAATCCGAAATTTATAATAACAATAAAACAACATTGAATTTAGATTTAGTAAAATAAATGTCTTGATTATTTGCATAACCTATTCAAATATAGGCCTACCAATATAGTTTTAAATTAGTAAAAAAAAAAACAATTTAATAGGCAAAAATATATTATGATTAGAAATAAAAATGTAAAACACAATACTGTATTAAACAAAACAAACAGATTATGTCTAGCCATAAAAGTATTTCAATTTGATGTTTGCCTCTGCCCCCACCCCTTACATCTAATATGTCAGAGTTTAATCCACCCTAAAATGTACTCAAATTGATGATTTAAAGTCTCTGATCATCATTAAGGGGTTGTAAATCCCTTGAAAATCACAATATTGTGAATGTTGATTTTCTAAAAGGAATACGAGTCAAAATATGATTCAATTCAGTTCAGTATTTACAAAAATATGATGAATTGAAAATTTGTCAACATTTGTATTGGCATCCTCTAGAAATGATATAAATGAGTTATGGTTAAAAACAAACCAGCGCCACCCATAATCTTTGCTAAAATCTTTGATGGGCCAAATTTTAATCCAAATGAACAAAAACCAAGAGATTATCTACTGTTAATATTTAGATTTTTTTCTTAAACATACATTATGCAAGAGAAAAATCTGATTATTGCAAGTCTTAATTTAGGCTTCAGATGTTATAGAAATTATAAATTAGATCTTTATTTAAACAACAAGCCCAAAATCAACTCTGTAGACCCACGGATGGCTCGGCTACAGCTCGGATTTAAATAGGATTTCACTCATTGATAAATTCAAATATGGCGCACCCTGATGAGAATACGTCAGTTAGATCGAGGCTAAATGATAGAGTGTACTTAGCGAGGCCGCTGTAGAGCGTTTCCGCATGCCATTGAAAACTTTACTTGATAATCGAGATATGTAGGTGGAGTTAACGCCTGTCAATCAAACGATCAACCAAGGTGAAGGCACATTTCCCTACCATTTCTAGTCAAATATTACAACGATGATAACTATGTTCAGAATAAAGTAATTTGACTGAAATTTTCAATATATTCTTTTTTCATCATCTATTTTTGAACTGTTATAGCAAGAATGACCAACTCTCTATAAAAATCTCCCATAATGTATCTTTAATTAAACGATCATAATAACAATCTGATTAAAACACAGATTCTAATTCGTTTCGTTTTTTAGAGTTCAAAATTTCCTTTTAGTTGTCTTTACTACACTAGGATCTACACGCATTCTGGATCATGTAAGGGGTTAGCCAATGAAACGGTCTGTGCAGCGCGGAACTGTGGGTAACCCACTAGAAACATCACTGCTGATTGATTAACCAAATGTCTGACATCATAAGGTCAAAAGACGCTTGTGTGACCTCTGACACGACCATTACTACAACCGGTCAGAACTTCATGTAGTGAAGACTATCGGAAGTATATAAAAATGAAACAAAATATAGGTCTGTATTTTAATCAGATTAGTTCAATAATCAATTTGTGTACATTCTAGTATGAATTAAAGCAGCATTAGCTAAGCGGCTATAATAGATAAAAAATAGATAATGGAAAGAGAATATTTTTAAAATTTCAGTCAAATTACTTAACTCTTGAGACAAGGAATCGGCAATATAATTATAGACTAGCCTTGAATGTCATTAATACTGTTGTTACGATAATAAAAAAAGTCTTGACTCTACTTAATATCGCAGACATCCGATATTGTTTGAAAAATATATGAGTTAACCATGGTAATCGAGTTCTGACTTTAAGCAGAGTTACTGAAAACAGTAGATAACGGTTGTGAATTAATGTCTAAATAATAATTTATAAAAGCAGATTTAGCTCTTACATAAATCATCTTTAAATAAATCATCTTTAAATAAGTGATAACTTATATTTTTTTTATAAACAATATTTATTTCATTTAAAAATGGATTGGGGAACAAGCTAGGCCTATGTTGACTCCTCTCCGGGAGAACTTGTGTGTTTCATCACCATAGGTAGAAAAACGTAGAAAAATATAAAATATGATGTAAATACAATGAAGAATAACACCAATGAATGGCAAGATATGAAAGCAAGGAAGATATAAATATTCACATTTTAAACATTTTATAATTAAAGATGCCCCATGGCTGGTAGTCATTTCCCTGGTTTAAATTGAACAAAAATAAGGGCTGAAAAATAATGTTTAGGTGAAATAAAATGTGGTTTCACATCCTTCTATTCTGCACCAAACTTGCTAATGAAGACGCATACACATGACCTCTTTGTTTTTGTCCCATCTGAATGACTAGACAATGTTCCTTGCCAGGTTGTCCTTCCTGCACTAGTAACAAGGGGGAAAATACACAGCAAAATCATGAGGAACTTCTTTGACCAAAACCTGAATCAAAGCCAAGAGGTCCTTGTTAGTGAGCCAGCACGTTATCCACTGATCTTCTGTGTCTCCCAGTTCTTCCATCTTCACTATCCCAGTCAGTGCAGAAGAGTAGGACATTAAACCCCATTGCGTTTCATTTCTCCCAGTTCTATTTATAAAGAACGTTTCATTCCTTATTTTTTGTAAAATTGAAAGAACAATGTTGACTAGCCCTCTGGCATATTACATATTTTAGTAATTTATGTAATTATTTATATAACCTTAGACTGGCCTCATCTTCATAATGTAAGGAGCTCAACAAAAATATCTCGACTGAGATTCCAGTCACACGAGCTTGAGCAAGCACTTTAAAAAACCAATGACTGTTGATTGTGTACCTCTCTTTGTTGCAACAACTTGACGACATGTACATAGGCACAGGAGCCATGGGGGCTGCAGTCTCACCCCCCCCCCCCCCCGGATTCGGTAAACCGTCCATTTTGCAGGCAATGTATTTACGTTTTACGATACAAACAACAGAGAATGAGAATTATGAGATTATATATCATAGATATATAATTGTATAAGGATTGATTCATTCTGAAAATTTGAGTGACAAAGAAAATTTTCGGGCAAATTCCCTTAGCACACCCCCCAAACTGAAATTGCCCCCCCCCACACTTATGTTCATAGAAACAACCTGGCTTATATTTACATTAGAAATATTAATATATAAAAACACAGTAAATCAAATCTACAAAAGCTAAATGTAACTAAATGATAATAGGTGGATTGATGTTTAAAATTTGACACAAATACTGATATATATTTAATTCACCTGAGTAGATGTGGATTTTATATTCTAAATCATATCCAGTCCTCCATCTCATAGCAACCATTGTATACAGATGTGGATAATGTAGTCTAAATTTATGTGATCATACATATATGTGGGACATGGAAGTAATGAAGACTATCGATGTTATAAATAAATAATGATGTTAACAGTTATAATGTCATAACTTCTCTATAATTCCTACTCAACTTTCCTTGGCTGAGGACAATAAAACAATTTTATCGCTCAACTTAATAAGTAGGCTCTACTCAAAAATTTTTACTAATACACTTTAAATACATTTCTGGTGTGGGTCATATTTTATAAATATTTTGAGAGAGTTAAAAAAAAAAAAGCCCATCTCAATTGGACATACATATATATATGCCCAGTTGAAATGGGTTTTTTTTTATTTGGATAAAAAGCAGAAATTAAAAAACTTAAGAAAAATGTTATACTACTTCAATTTCTTAGTCTACCTTATGCAAGAAACAACACAAATTTATCAAGAAATTTTAACAATCTGAGCTTCAGAAACAGAGCCCTTGAATTAGCAAGCGATATTTATTCCAAAGAACATGACAAGTTTTAGTATTATCCCAATTTTTTTAAAGATACATTAGTTAAGAGTTTAATAAAGAGTTGGCCATTCTTGCTTTTATAATTCAAAAGTAGATGATAAAAAAAAGAAAATATTGAAAATTTCAGTCAAATTACTTTATTCTAAATGAAGTTGTCACTGTTGGAAGTTTGGACTAGAAATAGGCATAAAGAAAGACTTGCAATAGGCAGATTTAGCTCTTAACTGATGTATCTTTAACTCGCACCAATCTCATCCCTCTTTTAACTAATGTATCTTAACTCACATAACTGCATTTATTACTATGTGTTATAAGGATAAATACTTTAAAATTCTAATTCTAAGTTTATGTCATGTAAATTATACTTCCAGCCAATCAAGGCTGATAAATATGACTCATACTCAGGCACTTATTTTGGGTCAGTGAAAATGTCTTAAATTTATCCATATAGAAAATACAAATATTCAACAGATGATAGATGGAAAGGCCAAACCCATTTTAATTTTTACTTCTTCAGGAAATTAATTAATATATATCTGTTCGAGTTTCATTAACCATGCTTTGTTTAAAACTACATTTGATGATACATTTGGACTAAAAACATATTCAAACTAATTAATCTATCAAAATTTTGCTTCAATTCACTCTCAAAACTTTGTATTCACAGGGAGATACCTCAAGCTATAAATAAACTGTTGACAGAAGCCATGTTTGTCACCTAACTTCATTGAGGGAGGGTCCATTTTTCAGAATGTATTTTTCATTACTTTCTGTCCATTTACCGTACATATTAAGGCCTAAGTAAATTCTTAATTATTTTGTCAACTTCTTTTTCCGCCGTTTAATTGCAGAGTCTTTGTGACAGTAGTGACACCCCTCAATGTTCCCGAAACCGCCTAACCATCTGATCAAGAAATAACAACCGCTTCCTCAACCAAGCTTGAACACAATAAGCTGGCGGACAACATTCGGGTTGCCAGTTACAGATACCCTGACATTTTTGACCAGTGCTTGCCCCGCGGGTGTTTTTCGGGTAATCCAGTATTTCGGGACAATGTGTCTTTAAATTTAGAACTAGAAGCTTTTGAGAAGAGAAAACAAATATTTAAAAAAAAAAAATAGAAAATTGCTGAATAAATAGTAAGTAATTTTCTAATGGGAAGAAATAGGAAGCAAAATTCCTGAAGAAAAAAAAATTGAAATTGGTGTGGCCTAAATAAAAATATGATTTACACGTTCAACAAGAAATCAATACTTATCTAAATTAACCCTTTATCACCTGAACTGCTCGAAACTACAGCTCCCACTAGAGCAGTGATTCCCAAGGTGGGGCCTGGGAAAATTTGAGTGAGATACAGGTATCTGCATTTGATTAAATGCCTTAATTTCTATTTGTGTGAAAAAAATTTGTTGAAGGTATATTTGAATTATGGGTTTATATAAATGTGGTAGAGCACCAGATTTTTTCTTAAAAAAAGGCGGGACATGGGGGGAAAAAAGGGTTGGGAAACACTGCACTAGAGTTTCAAACTTCCTGAATCACTTTAGATCTATTAACTATTTATGTGACTTGAGGCAGTTTAGAGAGCAGAGGTAGTTTCAAAAATAATCTACATGAAATACAATGTCAAAAAGACTTTCAGAGAACTGGGGGTAGTTAATATTTACATGTACCAGGCGTTTAAGGGTTAATTAAGGTGCTATGGGGTCACATTTAACATTTATTTCTTGTTTAAACCATTAAAAACATTGATTGCACTAGATATTACACAGTTCTCCTAGGACCAGTCTGTGGCTGGATAACCTTTATAAAATCCGTTAAACATGATGGCGAAGGCTACAAAGGCTAAATATAGAGCTAACGTCACCCAGCCTAATGTTGTCTCCCACGGCAACTTTTGAACATTCTTTAAAACTGGTACTCCAAGCAATAAACCTGAAATAAAAAAAACAGAGAAATTAGGGTTAATGTTGACTCAACTAAACCAGGTCATTTCGGGACAAAACATATGGTTCATTTTTTATTTCAATAATTCACTTGATTTACGGGTATTTTGGCTGTGGGAGGAAAGCTGCGAACCAGGAGAAAACCCATGAGGTTGGACAGGGTATCAACACGCTCATTCAACCATTCGCACCCCCCACCCCGCCCAAAAATCACCTATTCGTTAAAAACTCTATTTAAACGACACTATATAATGACACAAACCGGGTCTTTTTGGGACTGACATATGGTACAATGACTCAACGACTGACCTTATGATCTAAAGCACATGTATTAGAACACTCAACCACCCAAAAATGTTATGAAAACTTACCAGCAAGAAAACCGCCAATATGAGCTGTCACACCCACTTTGAACTCATCAGGAGCAGATATACGTCTGTATATGGCAATACCTGTATCAGGTAATACTGGAAAAAAGAGTTTAATAGTCTAGGTTAAAAAGACTTGAAATGGATTTATAACACTAAGTGCACACACTGTGATTAAAGTCTTTCAAAAAGACATCTTAGGTGAAAAAGTGACCCTTTACAACAACATAAACCGACTGGTCTATTGAAGACGGGCATACGCCATACAGTGTGCTATTAGGGCCATTTTGTCCGGATAGTGCCACCAGGGCCTTCTCTTATATCAAATTCCAACTGCCAAGGGCACCCCTACCACCTGAAGGTGGGGAAATGGGAAGGTTTGTCAAAGTCTCTTACACCTTCAACCATACCAAAATGAGACCTACAAATCAATATTCAATTAAGTCATTTAAAAATTAGATAATTCTATACTTATTAACTACTTTTCAACCTAACTGGGGGTGGTAATAATTGATTTTCTAATGCTGAGTGGGAAAATATGTTTGTGCGCCCCTGACCGGACAATGTCTGGAACATGTGCCTGGTCCTGTAGAATAATTATACTCACCTAGAACTAATATAACTGTTAGACGAACAGGGGCACTCAATAATATTCTCTTTATACTTCCACTACAACATTCATAATTCATCTCTCTCCAATTCTGTCAATTATACAATATAATTATATTTCAATACCTCGCATGCACATAGGGGTCTTTTAATTGTGGGAGGAAACAAGAGGACCCAGAGAAAACCCATGAGGTTGGACAGACAACCTACTCCTTGTCATTTATAAGTGTGGGCTCGAAACCACGTCATTTGTCTCAATGACATTCCTGATGATTTAAAGGGCATGTGTTAGACTATTCGACACCCACCCCGCATAAAAACAAAATAAAATACAGATATAAATTTCATAGTTCTAAAAAATAGATTGTCAGTTTTCTTGGGGAGAAAAGCTTCAGATTTAGAAATCCATATCGCACAAGCAAATGAGATGCACGTTTTCAGACAACATAAAGGCAGCTATTCGGTTTCTGCGTTAAATATAAGCCAACGTTAAATAAATCTATTTCACACACACACACCTCTTAGAGCAGGCCAAACTAATGTTATACTTACTGTAATGATAGCAGCTACATGGGCACCTAGTAACGCATAGACCCCTCCACTAGCCCCTACTAATCCTACATAATGATCTGTACACGAATGTGCTAACGAACCTGAAAGAAGATATAATCTACAATTAGAAAACTTAATTATATAATGGACCTTGACTTTATTCAGAAGATATTAAAGAAATAGAGATTGAAACGGGGTTTAACATACACTCAACACAAACTAGCTAGACTTTCTTGGGACTATCATATGGTACAATTTTATTTCAATAACTCACTTGAACGTAGGGGTCTTTAGCTGTGGGAGGAAACCGGAGGACCCACAGGAAACCCTCAAGGTTGAGCAGAGGACCCTGCTAATTGTCCCGAATAAGCTTTGGAATGAAACCACACCACTTGACTCAATGACAGACCTTATGATCTAAAGCTTACAAAGCTTTCTCTCTTTGTAGATTCTTTGTTTTTTGTTGTACAGTTCTCTGGCATTGTCTGTTTGAGCCTAACACGGTTGTTTTTATCCAAGATGATAAATGTTTTACCTGCGATAACACCAAGTATATAAACAATCATCACTCGCCAAAATTTATGTACAAATTCTAGTGGAACACCAAACAGCAGTTGAAAAATCATGTTGGATAGAATATGAATGTATCTGAAAAAAAAGAAAAACAATATGTTAAAACATAAAAATGATTACATGAAATGAAATGAAATGGGGTTTAACGTCCTACTATTCTACTCCAAACTGGGCTAATGAAGACAGGCATAAGCCATACAGTGTGCAATGAGGGAAATTTTGCCCGGACAGTAGCACTATAGCCTATTCTTATATTGAATTCCAACTGCCAAGTGATCTTTTACGTGTACGCTAATGTATACATTGGACCTCAGTTTTTCGTCTCATCCAAATGACTAGACAGCTGTCCTTGTCAAGCCCTCCATCCTGCACCACTGACAAGGGGGGAAACCATGCCAGAAAATCCCAATGAACACACGACCTCTATATAAATATAGGTTATGAGATCAGTTTCAGAAATAAAATCAAGATGAATGGTCAGTCAGACAAAGTGAATTACAGTGCACTCTGTCACATCCGACATCGTACGGGATCGTTACAATATGTCGGATTACACAGAGTGTCGGAATACCCAGTTTTCTCAAAACCGGAAATATTGTAACTTCGAAAACCGGAAGTATTATTATAAGGTAGCTTCGAACATAGAACTTACAATCACCAGAATGTTATTCCCTTTAAAAATGATAAACCTTTCTGTACATTCAAAATTTTATTACATTAATTTTTATTTCATTTAACATGCGTAGGCATTTTGAATAGCTCAAGTCTGTCGTTAATTTATCTTCTTCGCCGTTTTCAGTTGATCACACTCTTGTCTTTGCTATCACGTGTTCATTGATAATGGGCGTACTCGATTCAACGTTCCGGAATTGAATTCTCTCAATCCCCAAAATAGCGACTATCGAGTGAACATGGGTACTTCGGGCTACAACGCAGGCGTCGACTGGATATATAAATATCGCATCCAACCATGCAGCAGAAACCTGTTTAATTACGTCGCAATTCTACTCACACCACCTCCGTCGTCGGGACTGACTTCCGCTTCACTCAATTGCAATTCTGTCAATTCGGGACGTTCCGGACTGTGACTCGAGCATCCTAGGTCGTCAAACGGTTCGAAGAGATCCGTAGGGTGACCAAACATATAGGTTATTCAGGTTCAATCGGCATGCGCAACGAATGTTTCCAACAGGTGCTAGGAATATTTTTACGACTGTGAATTCGGGGGAAAATTTGTGGATATTCTTGAGTATTTGTCACAACTGTCGTACAAGAGAATAAAATTATCAAAGTAATCAACAAAGATCCACGGTAGCGAGTTTTAATCTCACAGATAATTGATTGGTGATTGCTTATTAATCTTTTGTGGCTTCACACCCATCCAGTTTTAATCTCACGGATAATTGATTGGTGGTAAGTGTTTGCTTCACACCCACTGATTGAAGGCCGGATTATACGGTGTCGATTCAATGGAAATCGTATGACGGGACGGCTGGTTGATGTCGTAATCCGGAACGTACAGAGGTCGAATTACCCAGAGATTTTTTGGCTGAAGTAATAAGGAAATAAATCGGGACATGAAAATGGTGTCGGATGTAACAGAGTGCCGGAGTGATCAGAGGTCGGATGTGGCAGAGTGCACTGTAGGTACTATTTTCCTCAACAATGGAATCTCAGAATATGCTGATTAGCAAAAGGTTGAAGTGTGTATAAAACTAGGAGCGCTGGAACCTAATTACTTTCAAATGTACAACTGAATCACTTTTAAATTTACAACTGAATCATTTTCTAAATCACTTTGAAATGTCGGTTGAATCACTTTGAAATTTACAACTGGATCATTTTCTAAATCACTTTGAAATGTACAGTTGAATCACTTGGAAATGTACAACTGAATCACTTTGAAATGTACAACTGAAATATTTTGAAATGCACAACTGAATCACTTTGAAATGTCTCTGTTAAGCTGCTAAATGTAAATATACATTTCTCAACTTACCCTTGATGCATGAACATATATGTTAGAAATCTCCAAGCTTCATAGCGACGTGATGGTCTATAGACAAGCGGACTGCTCATATCAACTCCTGTTGTTGCCGTTATGGGTCTACCTTGAGCTTCTAATTCTACAGCATAATATATAAATACAGCAATCTACAAGTAAATACAATAATATACAGATGATCAAGACTACACATCAAGTGACTTTAGTGTCTGGGTTATCTGGACACAAAATCTGCAGGTACATGAATGAACACATCTTATGGCATTTAATGTCCTACTATTCTGCATGTATATCAATTACCAAGCAAATGGAAGATGGGCATGCACCATGCAGTGTGCTAAGAAGGAAAATTTGCCCAGACAGAAATTGAAATCCAACTGTCAAGCGTTCTTTTATATGCACGTTAATGAGAAACCATACCAAGAACTTTCTTGGCTAACACCAGAATGAAACCCACAACCTTTAGGTCAGCCAATAAACACAGCGCCAAAATTCAACAAGCACTTACCTCTATTGCACTGATGATAGGTATAAATAAAGGAGGAGGTCGACAATTATAATTGGCTATAAAATCTTCCTTCATGCTCTGTGGTATAATATTATCTATAGCGGCACTAATTATTCCACGAAATCTTTGTCTTTCTTCACGCGTTACGCCACCTTGACCACCACCCTCCATCTGTAATCATATAATAATATCAAATAAATGTTTAAAATCTTAGCCACATTTCAGGGCTCCCAATAATTTGCAAATATATTTAATCTATGACTACATTTTGTGCTATATAAACAGACATATTTTTATTATCATTATCATGAATAAGACACTGAAACCTCTATTTTGGATCGCTACACTGAATTTTGTTCCGTCCCCTCGCCCCGACCCTCCTCAATCCCACACCAGGAATATAATGCATTCAGTGCAACATTTCAATAAGTGTTCTATTATTGTTTTCAAGCATATCAACTCTTCCCCTCTTCTCTTCCCTTGTCTCTGTCTCTATTCCTCCCTCTCTCTTTCTCCCTTTCCCTCTCCCCTCCCTCCCATCATACTGTACTCACCAATTTTACAAATTCACCATACGTGATCTGAGCATCCCGATTGGCATCTGCATTATTAAGAAGTGAATTGAGACGTTCCTGGGTCATATGATCTGTAATTCCCTCCTCCTCCAACTCTTGACGTAAATCTTGTAACGGGACACCTTCAGGTCCATGCTGAAAACACAAATAAAATTTTTACAAAATGGGGTAGTATAAAATACAAATTTTATCATTTGCAGTTTACATGAGGGATTATCAAGAACCAGTACATGCATCCAAACGTAAAAAATTGGATGATTAGAGTTTGGCATTGCCTCCCTGTGATAATAATAAAGGCAGGCCTACTCATTATTTTTAGTGATTTCATTATTTCGTGCACATCAGTTTTAGCAAATATTATCTTCTTTTTAAGATTAATTTTTTTATTAGAGTATTTAATGAATCAAATAAGGGAGGATAGACTTTCGTTCATTAAAGAAGATGTGGGTACAAGAGTTATATTCAGCATCTAAATGCTTGTGTGAACGAATCGACATATGGTATATTAAAGAGAATTAGAGGAATGGGGTTTAACGTCCACTCGACACAAACTAGGTCATTTCGGGACTAAGATATGGTTCAGTTTTATTTCGCTGATTCGCTTGAGCATAGGGGTCTTTAGCAGTGGGAGGAACCTGGAGGTTGGACAGGAGACCACTCCTCATCACGTACAAGCAGGGAATCAAAACCATGCCACTTGACTCGATGACAAATCTTAGGATTTCACATGCACGCACATACAGATTTTCACCAATGAGAATTCGAGTTCATATCAGACTTCATTAGCCCGGTTGATTCAGAAAAGTAAACTATCAAACCCTACTTTTTTTTATTACATTTGTCACTGTTCGAGAAATCAGGCGGTCTGTGACAAATAATCTTAGGTGTGCACAGGTCTTAAAAGATTTTAGTCTAACCCTTGAACGTCACTGGTCAACAGCCAGGGACGTGCTAGAGAATTGTTTCATACTCATCAGAGTAACACTGTGTGAAAAATAATCTTAAATAAATTTCAAATCAACTTACCTTATCAAAAACTTTCTTGTAATTCTGAAACATAAAATAAAAAAGTTATCAAAATAACAAAATAGAATGAATAGTCCCACTTCTCTATTGCCACTGTAGCAGTTTTAGGTATCATTTTAACCAATAAATCTGGTTCATTATTTTAAAGACAGTCTACACAGCATATAGTTCTTCAATTTGTTATGACCATGTCTGACCTGACTATCAAAAATCCAGTGGAAAAAGTGCATATCAAGATTTTAACAATTTGTTCACAGCAGTTAATAATAGTTATATCGTACAGAAATGTCATGTCAAATGCTAAGCTCAAAATGTTGGTTTTCTCAAGATTTTCTGAAATATTTCTGAAAAAAAAAGTACATGTAGCGGTTTCGGTCACAGAGGTTCAATAGATGCTAACTCGTTAAGAGTTAGGGTTCGAGTATAAAATGTTAAATAATAAATAGTACATATTGAACATGAATTAAGCCGTGAGAAATTAAACATTTTAGCGTAAATGCAAAGGACGCATCACGCCTTTAAAGTTTAATAACTTATATTTTTATAGTTCTTTATAAACCTATAATGGTAAATCTCTTTGATCTTTGGGGTATATTCTATGCCCAGAATAACTTGTGGTCTGAAAATTGTGGGACAGCTTTGAATATATACAGGGGAATTTGGGGGCTATTCTTCTGAAAGTTTTTCTTTAAACCTGTAACGGGTTATTCTTCCAGGGTAGGGGTTTTTTTCCATAAGAAAACATGACATAACGTTTTTCTTACTGGAGTTCCAGGATATTCTCATTTTACGTGTATGTAAACATATACGGTTTATAAGCAAGATAAAGTCCTCGACTTCGGTTATGCTGCTGGTCTCAATTTTTTTTTCTCAGGTTATTTTCTTCAGTCTTTCTTTCCCCAGAATAAACTCAGTCTCGTGCTTTATCCTACACATATCACTGATCAGTACATTAATTACCATGATTATATATTAAACTATTTATATCATAGCCTCAAGGTTTATAAATATACATCACCTCATACTGTAACCTGAGTATCATGTAATCTTGTGTATTTAGCATTAATTTCTTTCACAATCATTTAATATAAAATCTTTGTTTAAAAGTTGGTAAAAATCATTTCAAATCACCCATAATCATCTAATTTGTATTTATGTCCAGTTTAAAGCTGACCATTCAATTTGACAATGAGTGTCCAAATTACAAGCGTTTAATTTCTCGATCACTGTTAAAAAATAAACAACCATAGGCATACGAGCCTATGGGGGGGCAGGGGGGGCAGCTGCACCCCTAACTTTTGGGCAAGCTGACTTTTTGGGCAGATGGGTAAAGTGAAAAACATTTTTTATTTCATCTACTTGGCAAAATAAAGTGCCCGAAATCTAATAAAACACTAATTTTATGGGCTGGAATAGAAGGAAAACGCGTTTGTGGCTGTCAAATATTCCAAAATTTTCTTGGGGGGTCCACACAACGTCAGTTTCGCTTCTTCGCCTCTCGAAGAAAACTGCCGCCGCTGTCTGTAAACCCGAATTTTTTCCGGGCATTTATAGTTCTGCTTCCCTTACTGTTATCGAGCCCTAATATAACACTAATTTTACTTTTCTTTTAATTGAATACCACAAATTTGTACTGAGTTGACTATGGATTAAAAAATGTTGCCTGGAGCCACTCTACTTTGTGCGACATTTTTCGGGCATCGATTATTGTTTGTGAATGCAGCTGCAACAGTCTGATTGGATGGTTGGAATTCAGAGTGGGATTTCGGTTACAAAACCATTGGATACTTTTGGAGTTTACACGGGATAGAATAGCAGAAAAAGCATTTGCGGTTGTTAAATTTTCAAAATTTTCTCCGGGAGGGTATACCCCGAACCCAGCGATGATTGATTGGTTGTTTGGAATTCCGGTCAGCCAGGTAGGCTATACTGGACCAAATTGAAGTTGCTGTATTCACAGGCTGGAATAGCAGGAAAACGCGTTTGTGGCAGTTACATTTTCAAAATTTTCTCCCAACGGTCCCGTCTTCGTGGACTCTAAACGATTGATTGGAATTCAAGTCAGCGACCTTAATAAGGCTATATTAGACCACTTTGAAGTTACTTTGTTCACGGGCTGAAATAGCAGGAAAACGGGGTTTGCAGCCGTCAAATATTCCAAAATTTTCTTTTGAGAGGGGGGGGCAAGGTAAGCTCCGCTCTCTTCGCCTCTCAAGGAAGACCGGCGCTCTCTGTAAACCCAAATTTTTTTCGGGCATTTCTGGTTCTGCCCCTCTAACTGTCATCGAGCCCGTACTCCTATGTAAACAACCCAACTGATTATTGATGTATAATGATTAATTTTTGAACAGAGGTCAGGAGATTAAATACATGTAGGCCCCTACTTGTAAATTGGACACTCATTATCGAAATTAATCAGTCAGCTTTAAACTAGACACAAGTACAAATTGGGGTGATTTTAAATGATTTTTGTGAATTGTGAAACAAAATAAGTGCTTGATACACAAGATTAAATGATACCCGAGTTACAATGTCAACTGCAGGCCATAAACCCATAAATTACTCTGATTTATAAACCTCACTATGCCTTAAAAGAGAGAGAGAGAGAGAGAGAGAGAGAGAGAGAGAGATGCAGTTTAACATCCACTCCACTCCATGGTCAACTTTGTTTCAGTAATTTACTTGTGTGTAGGGGTCTTTAACAGTGGGAGGAAACTGGAGGACCCAGAGAAAACCTGTTAAAACCCTGGTTCAGGGTCAAGGGTTACACAATCCATCCAAAGCTGTAGGAAATAAATAGTCGAATGTGTAATTATAATTCTGTTGTTTGTCGATTTGGTAAGAAAGAAAAACTTACTGGCATACGTCTGGGCTCCATGACGACTATCTTTCACCTTTTATCACAAAATATATTGACTTATAATCCAGAGAAAAAAGTCTCTCTTTTAGAAGAGATGACGTCAAGATAGTTTTATGATGTAATGCTCAACAGTTTATTGCGAATTAAAACATCGCCAATGTATAACTTACTTAAAGGCGCCAAGCGTCTTTTTTAAGAATTTTGCATCTTTTGCAAACAACAATATTTTGAAAGATGGATCACAAAATAGAATATCCTTTTCACCAATGGTCCAATCCTGTTCAGTATTTAAAAATATCTGATGAATTGAAAATTTGTAAACATTCGGTGTCCGCAGGAGTCGAAATAAGCAAGCTGCTCATACCACCTATTTTGGTTGTGTAAAATCCTTATAGATGGGCCTGTGTTTAATTCGATTGAATCCGAGCAGGGAGATTTATTTTCTTAATTAAATGTTAAATAATCATTTTAAGTACAAGCTGTGAAAATTTGAGATTGTCTGCCAAATGTAAGTGACGATCAGATCTTTATATCCTTATTAATAATATCAAATGGAAAAACACCATAAACAGTAGATCTAATTCCTTATAGATGAATGAGAGAAAAAACACAATTACACACAAACATCCAAAAGAATACAGTTTAACTGATTAAAAAAGTAGAGACACACTCAAATTAACTTCCTAATGGCTACACCTATATGAAACTGCCTGGGGCTACGATTGAAACCTTTCGTGAATTTTCAATAAAAATATTTGCTAATCAATCAGTCAGTTAATACGGTTATAACATGTCAGAATCATCCAATCGGATTCATCAATATATATTTGTTAGGTTGTTACAAAGATAGTTATTGGAGGATAAACCAATTAGCGTGGGTAACGTTATGATCATTTTAAAGGGACATTAATAAGGTATCTAAAAATCTAAAACAATTATTTCTTCAAATTTTATTTCTTAAAAAAAATTTTTTCCCTTAAATCTAGCTTAAATTCTATTTTATTCTACATAATTGAACACAATTTAAGTCTAAATCCCAAAATTAACAAATTATTGTTTAATTCTCTATGATATCTTCAAATTTTATGATTTTTTTTTTTTTTTCTTAAATTTTATTTTATACTAAAACAATTTTTCCCGATCTTCTATTTTATTCTGCATAATTGAACACAACTTAATTCTTAATCCCAAATATAAAATTAACAAATTTATTTTCTAATTTCTATATGAAGAGTCCCTTTAAGGTGAGATTGCAGTTGGAGTCTGCGATCATTGAAGCAAGATAAACCCACAAATTGTATGAGTTATTTTACACAGCAGGGGAACAATAAGGTTAACAATAGGTCATCGCAGGTGAGTAGTTAAAGGTCATCAGGTGATGGCTTACATACAGGTGAAAAACTTCATTCTTTTGTTGACAAGACCATTTAAATGACATAATGGTTGTCACTCACATACGGTAATTACCATATATATGTTGCAGAATTGAAAATGAAACGGGTTTAGCGTCCTACTTTTCTGTACCAACCAAGCTAATGAAGCTAGGCATACATAATACCGTCTGCTATCAGCAACGCTACGACCTATTCTTATTTTGAATTCCTAGTGTAAGGGATCTTTTACGTGCACGCCATGTGCACACAGGATCTCAGTATTTTGTCTCACGTAAAAGAACTCATGACAGTTGGAATTCGATGAAAAGTATTCATTAGCTGGTTTGGTGTAGAAATAAAATGTGACCTTAATTTAAGCACCCAGGTGAGGTGTGAAGCACATTCCAGCTTATTTATTTATGTTTATAATCAAATCATTTTCAAGAATTGTCATTTCATGTAAGATTCATAATTCCTTGCTCTTTCACAATGTTTATTATTTTAGATGATTTTCTAACAGATCAAGATGAAAGTAATTACCCAACTTACCACTCCTATGTACCTGCGATTTTGTCTCGACATCTTGACAACAGATTGGTTTCTTTAACTCTTCAGTCTCAGATGCTTAAAATTTTAATGAATCAGATTCCAGTTCTAATCTTCAATATTATTTATAGAACGTTTCATGAATTAAATCCAATCATTAACTACAGTCATTGAAGAAAGATTTGATGAATCTTGACTCCAATTCTAATCTTCAATATTATTTAAATATTTATAGAACTTTTTAA